CTGCCTCCCGAGTGCTGGGATTAAAGGCGTGAGCCACCACTGCCTGGCTCTCATAAGGACACTCGTCCTTTCGATATACACATCCTCTGGGGAACAGAGACTGCTCTATTCAGCTAAAACCAGACGCCAAATTTAACATAATTTTACAATAATGCAAAAAAGCAATGCTGTCTTTAATTTCCCAAGCTAGCTATATGAAGAACAATCTTCCCTCACCAGGCAGGAGAGGCAGCAGTTCCCAGTCAGCTCTCCAACACAAGGGGCACCGTACTCAAGAAATACTATGAAGAATACTTAGAACTTTATCATGCAATAGGATTTCTTTTGGATGGCAGACCCAACTATAGGTTAGTGCCATTGTGTTAAGCTTGACTGGGTGGGGGTACACTGAGCTATGACATTAGGAAAACTGGGTATTTTACATGAAGATTGACTTAATGAAATTTTCAATGTATGATGGCTCATCAGAACATGACTTCGCAGGAACATCTGTAAAGTAAATCAGACAAGGCAAGACTCCTCAAGAGCTGGTCATGGGGCCAAGGCCAACTACAGCCTCTTTTTTTGCCGTCCACTCTACCTACTCCTCATCCTTAGCACAGAAGGTTGGAATTCTGACCTGCTAGAATAAGCCTTGGTCTATGCCCAATGACCAAGTATTTATTTACTCAGTTATCATGGTTTTCCACAGAGCATTGTAACTGGGTATAGGTGTGATAAGGAGTTTTTGTCATTGTTGAGTAGCAGGAACCTAATTGTCCTTGATGACAAAGTTCAGTCACTACAGTCAATACAGTGATATCATCCTACAGTGAGATGAGGAACTTAAACCGGGGGACAACTTGGGCTTCCCGCTTAGTAGAATTATGCCTGTGTTTCCTTATAGAAACTAGGGCCCAAAGTAGTGATGATGGGAACCCAAGATGCTCAAAGCAGCATCTTTGGATAGAATGTTCTGACAGTTAGGAGTTACTACACCTATCTCCAAATCTGCACTCTGACTATAGAAGAAACACCAAATTTAACTCTATTCTGTAGAACAGCAATCCAACATTTAGGTTATTTCCCAGCTGCTCTTTGGAAGTTCATGATCTAGAAAGTTCTTAGATGGTGAGTTGCATGACAAACTGAGTTTCCTTGGTTCTTTAGAGGTGATATTGTGAGGAAAACCAAGATGATCAAAGCCCCCTCTAGCAGCAACACCACCGATCTCAATTCTCACTCATGTAGAAGGAATCTCTCCCTAGGGCTCGATCTCTCTGCCTTTTTCTGTCTTTTTCAAGTCAATCCTTGCTCTCTTTGATTTATTTATTCACTTATGGATTTACTAATTGGTTTATATACTTACTTACTCATTGGGGGAGGGCATTCCCATGCCGCAGTGTGTATGTGGAGGTCAGAGAACAACTTTCAGGACTTGTACCTCAGCTTCCACCTTGTTGAGACGGGCCGATCTTGTTTCCGCTGTTGAGCTGTGTACTCCAGGCCAGCTAGCCCATGAGCTTCTGGGTGCATCTCCACTCTCCTCCCATAGGAGTCCTGGGATTAGAGGTGTGACCTACTGCATCCTGCTTTGGGGTCTGAGGATCAAACTCAGGTCTTCAATTTTGCATGGCTAGTGTACTGTGCCATTCACCCTAGCCCCTGGCTCTCTCATATGCCAAGATTTGAATAGCAGACTATCAGAATCCATAGAATCAGCAGCAGGTTTAGAAAACAGATAGGAACTGAAGGTTCTTCCGAGGCTGGGAAGGAAGGACTATAGCAGACATCACAGCAAGAACCATTTATGCCTAGTACCTCCCAGTGATGCTCTAGGAATACCCCCACAAGGAACTACCAGCCTTCACCCCTCCCTCCTCAGGACAATGCATATTTAGTTAAACCCTAGCCACCTGCCTACCTGGGGGTGAACTACAGCAGGGAGCAGGAAGATACAGTCCCTTTAGAGGATTTGCAAGTGAGGAGGACCCCTCACCAAGCCTGCATGCAATGAGACACCCCCTCAGCCAGGAGAAGAAAACGAGCCATAATCAGACACGAAAAATAATAGTTGTAGCAGTAATAATAATATAATAATGGTGAATAGGTATCTCTATTGGTAAATTATGAAGCCAGGAAGGCGCAAGTTCAGATCCCAACACCCACCTAAGTGCCATGCATGACCGTACGCATCTATAGTCCAGTGCTGGAGCAGCAAAGACAGGCGGATCTCAGCACGCTCAGACCACTCATTCTACCAGTGAACTCCGGTTCAGTGAGAGCCTGTCCCAAAAAATAAAGTGAAAAGTGACACCAACATCACCTTTTGTCATCCACAGACACCAACGATTTTCCAGGAACCTACCCGCTGTTGACTCCTACCTACTCCCATCCCATGGCTTCACATAAAGCCCTGTCTTTCTGCCAAGGTCCACAGAGCTTGCTCTGCCATCCCATTAACTGTGTCCCCGAGGCCCACTGTGGTCATTCCCTGCTTCACTTTCTCTCCCTCGCCAGGCCCAGCCTTTGCTGTCCTCAATGCCTCTGCCTAGAACCCACCCCCCTTCCCAACCTCACCTCCAGCTGCTGGGCAGGTCCAACCCTGTGTTGCATACACACCTAACTCAGGAGCAAAGCTGGCAAGGTCCCTCTGACGGCTCAAGGCTGGGGTAGTTGATTCGTCCCTGTATTAGTTACTTTCATGACACTGTGACAGATCATGGTTTTGGAAGGATTGCAGTCCATCATGGTGGCCTGGGGAGAGGGAAGGGGGTCATGGCTGTGAGAACACGTGGCAGCATCTCCTCACATGTCAGCAGGCCAAGAAGCAGAGGACAGGTCAGAAATCAGGGGTGGCTATAATCCTTAAAGGCCCACTCCTAACGTGCTGTTTCTACCAGCCATTTCCTAGCTCCCAAAGCCCCACTGTCTTCAAACCATACAAACCATACAAGGTGGGGACATTAATGACTCAAACCATGACGAGTCCCCCCTGGGTGTCCAGTAACACCCGTACCTATCGCTCTCACTACACGTCAGACATGCTCACACACTGCTCTTTCTCTGCAGCCTCAAAACTCCTCCTGTGTGTTTGTATTCCCTAAGGAGCTTTAGAACATAGCCGGGAACATAGCACAGCTTGACGGGGGAATGAATATTTCCATGATATATTTTCCTACCTGTAAAATGGTTGAAGCAAGAATTGAAGATACCTACTCCCTCTGCTCGGGCTGCCAGAAGCTGACGAGGAAGAGAGGGTACAGGATACAAACTAGGCCCCAGTGCCAGCTCCCCAGTAAACATACAGCCAGAAGACAAAAAGCAAAGGGCTTTTAGAGTCTGGCACTTTCAGAAAATCAGATGTTTAAAAGACTAAATCCTTTCTTCACTTACTCTGAGCGGCAAAGGCTGGTTAAAAATAACACGTCCCTTAAGGGACCTGACTTTTCAGGCTGTAGTCGGGGAAGACAGGAAGACGATGTTCTGTGCTCTTGGGTGAATTATCTTCTTTCTTAAGTGAATGTGCTGTCGTTTAAAAGAAACCCCAGGCTTGTTCTGTTCTTATGTTTACTGGGGGAGGCAGTGAAATGGTTTTGCAGTTTGTAACTGCTGGGCTCAACTTGGAGATGTAACTCCAAAGATCACATCCATGTAGGCTTCTGGTATACACAGGAAGCAAGATTCCCTACACACTCAAGAACTACAGGTCCATACAGGGAAATCGGAGATGATTGTGATTTATTTCTCAGTGAAAAATTCTAACTGTTAACCATCAACCTTCCGATGGTGTTGTTAAAGAGCTGTACAATTGTTTCTGTAACACATAGTTACGGGCAAATATAAACTCAGAGCCACAAACAGGTTATATGACTTCTGAGAGTCCGTCAACATGGGACTGACTCACACAGGGAAACACACTTAACCTGACTCACAGAAGGCTCGTGAAGGTCAACCAGTCACAACAGGTGGTGGTGACAAGAACTTGTCAAGAATAACAAGCCAGGCTGGGGGTGTAAATTGTTCGCCTGGCATTCATGAGTCCTGGGTTCAATTACTGACACCTGTCTCGCAGGGCTGCTGTGAAATCACTGTGTGCCTTTTCTGTGGACCTTCTTGGGGCAAAGTTTGTCTCTAGATGCTGTTCCTATGTTGGGGTTTTGTGGTGGTTGTTGTTGTTGTTGTTTTATTGTTTTTTTTT